CCCCACTGGCTTGATGAACCATCCAACTCCCACAGGTGCCTGCTCCAAGGAGCCCCTGGCAGGACTCGGTGTCACGAAGAACAACACTGTCTGGAGCTAGAGCTTCTAAACAAAACCAAAGGCCATAGTAAGTGGTCTACAGACACTTTAGAGCCAAAGATGCCTCATTTCAAAATTAGTTAATTTTAAGGAGCACAATCCACAGAGAAGTAAGGCAAGCTCTGGCCCAAGCGCTTTGGAAGCAACAGGCTAGACAACTGTTTACTGGAAAGAGATCTGTAGCTGTGGGATCAAACCCAGCCCTTCCTCCAATTCGTAGCTCAGCAAAGTCCCTTCTCTGCCCACCTCTGTCTAGCAAATGGTGAGGTGGAGACAAGAACTGTTGATTGTACATGAGGGTCCAACTGTGCTGCCCTGACAAAAGTGGAAGCTGATCAGCACCTGCATTCTTCCCCTCAGTTAAAGGCAACTAACACCTCCTGCTCATCCATCCTTCTTTCGCCCTGCAAAAATCTCAGAAGCAACAGTTCTACTGCTTGTGGGACAGTCTTCCCCAGCAGTAAAGAGATGACATTATGCACTGAAAAGTGATAAAGTCTGTTTTGGAACTAGGGGAAATCACACCAATCCTTCCTGTCCAAAGAAATTCCCATGAGCAGTCAACGAGACAATTCTCAAAGGGAGCTAAAAAGAAGAGCTAGCACTCACAGCATGGAAACACAAGGCCTGAAACACAGGTTCTCTCATGGCAGACTGAAGTATGGTGAACCTGTGAACAAAGGCCATGGCAACAGCCATCTTCCACAGTCCTTCCACAGAAAGTTGAGCGATTTGCCACGTGTACACCTTCTATTTCTACAGACCTTGACAATCTCGAGGATATAAGTTAATTTTATTTTTGTAAGGAGAAAACTTCTGCTCCAAAGTTCTTCTGCTTCAGTAAGAATACCTGCGAAGGCAGAGCCTCTTCGTTAAGTCAATGAGTGAGAAGGAAAGACCCAAACTACTGGCTGTTAATAGTTGTAGGAAGACAAAAGGTCTGATACCCCAAGACTTAGCAAATGCAAGTAAATCAAGGTCTTCCCAAAGGAAGCAGGATACTTCGTAGGAGAGACATAAACCTTGTTTCTGAACGTCAGCTTCCTTCCCAGCGCTGTGGCAGCAGGACAGAGACGGCCAGCGCAGAAAACGTTTGCTGATGGTTGCAGCTCTCCGCTGAGGCCCCGCAGGTAAGTGGCAATGCTTTCCTTCAAAAACTCAGCTACTACCTGGTGTACTTTCAGTAAAGCACAGATAGCAAGAGCAGCTAAAGACAACGTGAATGTGTCTGTACTAATTAAGCCCTTGACAAGCTGCCTTACACAGGCTAGGAATGGGCGGCAGATATGCAGGTGCTGGAACCAAAAACGCCTTGGAGCAAACAGCTACGACTCCTTGTGTGAAGCCTGCTGAAAGGCTTCATGTCCTGCAGTACTCTTCTTCTAGTGACCGTTAAAAGTTCAGGTCCTATTTGACTCCACATCCAAAACAAGCTCCTAGGATTCTAATTAGCATAGATTCACTGACGTATGAAAAACTATGAATCAGAGTTACAGCAAAACCTAAGCTCAACACTGCAGGTGTTCAAACACCAGCAGTTGCATCATGATGGCAGAATTCAAGACTGACAGGGGCTCTACTGCCACTCATTTTCCCCAGTGAAACCACACTCATGAAATAAAACTGAAAAGGTTTCAGTATTGTCATAGCTACCATAAGCCACGAACGGCTGGAACCTGCTAATTTGCTAACAAAACAGGCTTTCAATAAAATGATTAGTGATATAATACACAACATTCATGACTGGATGATCCACAAATACCTGACACAATAGCTTTGGCAAGACTGAAGACCTTTCAAGCACAGCAGAATAAAAAAAAAAGCGATCCTGCTTTAGCCATAAGTGATATTAGAACACTGGCCTGCTCAGAGCAGTTAAAAGGCTTTTAAAATAGGAATAAGCAAAGTGTTTGTTGCGTTTAAGGGCAGAAAAACTGCACAATTAATTTTGCTGCATGTTACAGTACTACTGAAAGATTAAAGTGAAAAAATGTATGACATTGTCTAAACAAATCTTCTAGCATTATTAATTTAAGTCTGTGCAATGGTATGTGACTAATGTTCACTGGCAAAATCAAATTCAACTACAAAAATTTTGCGATCTGATTATTGCAATTAGGAGTTCTACATACAATGCAGCCTGCCCATTAAGAGCCTACCCCTGCAGCATTTTCATACTAGAGTTTATGTTCTTCCTAATAGCAAGAATTTCTGCCCATAATTAGTATTTTTTCCCCTATGTTAAATAAATCATAATGTTCTTGAAAACATTTTTCGTAATCGAGCAGGGCTTAAATCTTTAGAGATCCTTGTTCAAACATGAGTGGGGATGAACACTAACACCTTTGGGCATTGACTAATCAGTTAATAATAACTTCTACCTCAGAAATCCACGGCTGCAAATACACTGCTGAAAATACACTGGGTCAGACCACGACCAGGACATCGCCAGCATCACGTTTGGGAGGAACGGAGTTCATCGCCTTTTAGAGCAGGATCACTCTGCAGTGGATGGGGCTGACTCAATCTAACCCTTATCTAACACGACATCGCCATTGCGATATAAATAGTGTCTTATTTGCCTGCTTCAGAGGAACAATGTTAGTCAAGAAAAGGTCAAACGGTTTTGCTACAGGGAAAAAGAGCAGAAATCTTTCATAATTTAATATTGCCCCCCCTTTTTTTTTTTTTGGATGACAGGAGATTCCAGGTGCTAGTCACATAGGAGGGAGAGGAATACTGAAGAGAAGACAAGGCATATTTATCTAGTCTGCAGTAGCACAAAGCAATAATATTTCAATCATTTCTTAAGGCCCAGCAGGAACTAGTATTCACCCAGCATCTCACTGATCTCATCTTTACTTGGAATTCTGCAAACCCTATAGACAAAGTCTGCTCAAACCTGCCTACTTTGACAATGCAGAAGTAACTTGTAGCTGCAGGCAAGTCTAGGACAGTGAACGTATATTTTCTTATTCCACAACACTTATTGCATTGATGCATTCAATTAATAAAGCACTAACGAACATGACTTTTACCCATAGCTAGCCAAATGGATCTATTTTTAGCTGAACAGTTTTAAGTCTCTGAATACTTAACATAACCTGAGGTTACTGCTACTAACCCTCAGATAAGATAAGCACTACACAAATATCCATGTGTATTTATTAAGGTTGCTTTCAAGCGTTTTTCTTATACTACAGAAAAGAAAGTAGCTCTGTTACAAAATCTGCATGCAAGACAGGCTGGTATATTCATACACAGTCGAACTGGAGAAATACATACAGCTAGGAAGCAAAATGTCTACAAATTACTACACGAAGGTGACCCAAAGCCTGATTTATTGCTAGCTTTTATTGCTTGCTTTTATTGCTTCCAGTGCAATTGTAATCTATGCATATGGCAATACTTCAGTACTAATGGAAATCAGCAAACAAGTTCACACGTGTCAAACAGTTGCTTTGCACATTCTAAAAATACTTGTAGGTCCTGGTTGCTAGAACGGCACCGACCTTCCCTTGTGTCATCTGTGCTGCCTGTAGCCTGCACTTATAGCTCATAGTATGCAGGGTGGAATACATCCTCAGTAGAAATAAGGGTAATTGCTAAACTTGTTATCAACCAGATTAGAAAGTAAAATAATTACAGCAAATATCCCCTTGGGTCATCTACAGATTACAAAAGACAGTTCTAAGATACTCCAAACCAGCCTGTCTTTCCTGGGAAATACCACAGATTGAAAAATAATAGTCTATCATTAAACAAAGTTACAGCATGTAAGGTGAATGAGATAAACGGAGTATCTGGCTCGACTGGAATTGTGTGTTTGGCCCAGACTCTGTGATGCACAGGCTGACAAGTCAACTTGCAGGTTATATTTGCAAAACATGTTTATGTAGTGACTTTGAGCCTTCAGGCTAAACGTAACGTGGTATGAAGGGCTATGAGAGAGAATATAGTCTCCTCAGCCAGCCCATCCTTTTCAGTCTAAATAGGAAAATTTGAGATGCAGCAGCAAAGACAACAAAATATATCTAACAGCAAGTCTGTACAATCTGTACAAACATAATGAAAGGCCCCAGCTATTACTCCGGCCTTAAAGCAAAGCATCTTTGAGTTGTGACTAGCAGAGGGATTTCGCTTTCCACGCTGCTTTGTGAACGTGGAGTGAATCTCACCAAGTACTGAATGCAGCGTGACAACCCAAGTCATGGGCAGCACGAACAGACATCGTGAGGGCGCACAATGCACTTAAAAAGTGCCGAACAAAAATGCAGCAGAGGGAACAGCGTTCAGCAGAGCATCAATCTTCTGGCATTTTGAACTCAAATCAGAAATTTTCCATTCCCACAAAAAGAATTAAATCATAAAATTTATGAACAGATCTTCCTTCAGACTTCCGAAAAGTGCCTGAAAATTTGGAGCATGTGAACCTTAGGAAGACTGAAATTGAGGATTTGAAAGAGGAATGAAGACAAGCTTGATGTTTAGATAATAAAGTCGAGTGCCAAAGCTTGAGAAAAACAAGGAAATTCAATGGTTCTAACACTGTATATTCAGGACTTGCATTTTCCAACTGTCATCTGGAATTCTATTTTTTTATTTTAAATGCATAATGGAGAATTAAAGCAAGATAGCTTGTACCTTCATGTCCTCAGGATTTTATGTTTTTTCATTCATTTGTTTTTAAACAAGGAAAGTCTACAGATAATGACAAGTTATGATTACCAAGAAATAACTAAAGAAAATTAGTTTTCCAAAATGCCCCATCCAAATGCATTAGCAATTAGAATCTCCTCAAGTTTCCATTAGTCTGTCAAAACAAGAAATAATCTTATAGCAGCTCCGAGTAAAACTCTTAAAGATTGTCACATTGATTGAATTTCAAAGTATAGACTTACAAATTCGTAGTCTCCATCCTGTGGTACTTTCCAGTCAGATGAATTTTTTGTCTGGCCAGACACATTCTTCCCAAAGCTATTGATTTGATTCTCCTTCTCCTTCTGCTCAAAATATTCAAGGAATGATGGTTTGGCTGGTTGCAACGTTTCATCTCTCCCTGAAAATATTAAAAATAATAAAAAAAAAGTTGTTTTGAAAAATATATTTTCAGTTATAGTGCCTTACATCATGCCCAAAAGTGATTTTATTTTTTTAGCACACACTAAATCACATAGTACTGCTAAAGTACTATTTTTTTCAGCAGCTTTTCAAATATAAAACTGACTGTACAGTTAGAAAACTGGAGAAAGGAAGCTTAAAGCCCACCACACAAGCAATTACAATGCTGGAGGCCTTGGCCTCTAGACCTGCAATCCGTCCACCAAAGCAGACTACCAGGTAACCGAGCTTCATGCACTGAACGCTAGAACTGAACTGCTACCAGCTACAGAGGCTGGGTTTTTTTCATCCCAGCCAGGTTGCATATGCTGCAAAATATACGAAGTTCCAAAACTAAACGGTGTTTTTCTACAAGCAGAAACTCATCTTTTTATTTAGGAACAGAACAGTACAAAAGTGAGGCTTTCAAAGACCACGTCTACCATACAAATATCACATCACTTGTCTCAGGTAGAAGCAGTCGAGTTCCACATTTCTTGGGTAGAAAGGATTACATGGTTTATAAAAGCTTCTTTTTTTCTTTTTATAAACAATCAGTTAGTAAGTTTTCAACTTTACTGGCCTAGTTTTCTTTTTGGAAGTTAATTCCTCTGAGCACACTTTCTTAGTGGATTACTCAAATAAGCTGTATATATAGATTAACCACTCAATTCTAAACTGCATTTAAGAAACTTGGGGTAATAACAAATGAGCCAAAAGAGAGACAGAGGAGTCAAAATAAGCCCCTAAATATGAATTATTTGATTTTTAAGAGCAGATCTTTTAAGTCTCCCAAGCACTGTTCTCAAAAACAAAGAGTTCACCCATACTGATGGGAGAAGAAAGGATATAGCTAAGAGCACAGAGCTTTGGCACAACTAGATTTACATTATTCTCATTTGCCTAAATTATTCTTTAGAACAAGCACAAGTTAAAAGAAAAGGATCCATGCTGATGATCCATTAAGAGCAAGGCGCTAGAAAAGCTACATTCTCATAGGATGCCCAGGTACATTGAGTAGTTGGTGGGATTATGGATACAAGCACTTAAATATCTCTTCTTCCTTCAGCCATTGCACCATCCAATCCCTGCTCATGTGATTTAAGTACCGTTACATACAAATAAATTTAGCAACCCATTCAGCAAAAAGTTTCTATCACTGAAGGAAGATATGTGGGGTGACAAGCTCCCAGATCAAAGCGGATCCCCAGTGCTGTTTGGGGAGCAAGGAGGTGGGCTCCATGAATGGAGGCAGTGTCAGCTGTGGGGCGACAACAGCGTAATAGGGAAGGAAGTGACGAAAAGTGAGAGGATGAAAAATACTGATTCCTAGCAGAGACAGCATAAAAGCCAATACAGGAAGAAAACACAAAATTTAACTTCACAGCAAGTCAAGACCGAAAGACTTTGACTATCTCCAAAAGAAGATTTATTTACTAGCGCAACTGGTACAGCATCAGTTGCTGCCCAGATGACTCACACTTAAAACTGCCCTGTCCTGTGAGTTACAGTGCAGCTAATATCTTGTAAGGAGTCTCAATCTAAGTGAGGAGGCAGTCTAGCACAGCAAACATGCTTTAACAGGGCAGCATCACAAGACCATGACAGCTGCAAACGCAGCTTAATGCCACTGTGCTGCTCTTTTTGATAAAACACTTCACAAAAACCTGTGACGATAATGAAAGTAAGCACTGTAACAATACCTAGTAAAATGATTTTATTCTGATAAAATATGGTTCTCTAGACACTGCAGTAGGTTAATCATACTTGAAACATATGTTTTAGGCAATGCAGAAACAATCATTTTCAGAAATTAGGATTAGGACTAGAGTTAACAGAAAATAGCATCAAAATAGACTAATTCTGGACTGTGGAAATAAGTTCTCTGTCAAACGCCATACATTTGAAATAAATATCATCTGCCAGGCAGGTAATCAACCAAAACTTTAGAGCTTCAGACGAGCACACAGGGCATGGAGCCATCCTTCGAGGGGTTTGAGGGGTCTGTGTAATGCAGAGATTCTGCTACAAGAATTTGTACAGAAGGCAGACTATCACAAGACAGTCCTCACTAAGGGCATTCAGCAGTGCTTTCCTCTTCAAAAAAATATTAGCTATTCTGGAAACCCATTAAGATTTAATCACTGAATATTATTCTTGCACATAAAATTGCCATGCAGTGATCCAGAACTTCCCTGGCAGACTCTGTCTGATCCTCAGACAAGTGTATGAATTCCTTGGTCAGTTATGAGATACTTTAGGAAGTTATTTGTCTATAGACATGTTAAATACAGAACAAATTTCCGCAAAGTATGAGAAATCTTGGCAGGATATTTGGGTTGTGATACTGAGAGAAGCGTGCTTCTACACAGCCTGAAACATCACGGTGCATTTTGAAAAAGCACTGCATCGTATTGTCTCTCCAGGGTCAGCTAAAAGCTTAAACATGAACTGAAGTGCTTATACTTTTGCACTATGACAACTGGAGCAAAGACAAATTATTCTACCCCTGGCAGTAGTTCCCCTTTTTTAAAAAAACAAAACCAAGAACCTCATCGTACAGAATTACATTAAGAAGGACACCTTCAGACAGGCTGTGTGAAGGTCAGTCAGGAAACACGTCTGCGAAGTGGAGAACAGATTTGCTGTTGGGAATAATTACTGAAACACAATAGCAATCCAATTACTGCTAAGCGATAAAACATTTATTCAGAATGAAGTAAATACATCCCTTGTATTCTGCTGCAGTCCAGCCTGTCTGAAGCAGGAAGTAAGTTGTTAAAACCAATCACAGCAATGTTTAACACCAACAAATTTTGTAGAAATAGATGAATTCATAACTCCCTAGGCTGATCTATGCACAGCTTACCTACAGCCAGCCTAGGTCTCAGTAATTCAGGCTTCCTAGGGGAAAAAAAAAAGTCTAAATCAAGCTTGTAATGTATGTTTTGCAAACAATTGTTTGAGCACAGGAGACTTTGAAAGCAAGCGTTTCACTCTGGTTATATTGGCTTATTCATTTCTTTTCTATTTATTTTTTTAACAAAGAATGTTCACTCATACCAGAGCCTAATTCAGAGTGTCACTTAAAATAACCATGCTCATTTCCCTTCCTTTTGTATGTTACCAGGAGCTGCAATATTCGTAACTTACCAGTTACATCTACTGAACAACCTATTGTAGCATCACTGAATTACTCAGACATATCCAAATTGAAGCTTTATTTAATAAAACTTCTGTTTTCATGCAGAAATGAAACAGACAAAGGAGGAAGTACATGAAGTGGTGGTGGTAGTTCATAATCCTGAAGAGCACAACCGGATTTTCAGCTCCACCAGTACAAGTGAGCAAATTGCTGGGGGGGCTGCAGCAGAAGGCTGCGGGCACACCGAAGGGGTCTCTGCCATGCTGAGAGGGTGGGAGGGAAGGGGTTTGTTCAGCCTGGGGAGGGCAGGAGAAGCTCCAGCTGTGGTCTCCCACCCCAACAGGCCATCAGAGCTCTGAGGAATGGCCTGAACTGCAGCAGGGGCATCTCGGCTGAACATAGGGGAGAAGGTTTTCACAACAGGGACGGTTGTGCAACAGAGCAGAGCTGGAGCGACTGTGCAAGGCCCTGAGCAACCGGATCCGCATTGCACTTGGTCCCAGCCATCACACTGGTAAGCAGACTGCTGACTCCAGAGGTCCCTGCCAAGCCCAGCTCCTCTGCGACCCACGCTCTTCATACCCACTGGCAGACACGTCCAACCTTGCAGTCACCTCAGGCCTTTCCACTGCATGCAACATTTAGTCACCAATTTTAGTACCTTTCTACACACCAACATGTAACACTGCATCTTCATTGGGTGTTTGTTCGTTTCTTGGTTTTTTGTTTAAACTAATTAAAATCAAGATTGCTAACTGAAAAACAAAAAATGGAAAAAAGATAATATAAAATGAAAAATATCTGGAATACAAATCTAAGATGTCAGAAATTTTAGTTGCTGCTATGATCTCACTAGGACACTTATGCAGCAAGACCGACAGAAACGCTCCTGGAGACAGAAAGACATTATGCCAAATCAATTACCATCCCAGCACAACTGGATTTCTTTTCGTCAATCTTGGCACTTAACAAGAGTGTCACCTTTCCAAAGATGATCTGCTATTAATTCGGCACAAGAATCAGACCGCTATATCTTTAAGATTTTGATAACAGGCAGCTGAAGACAAAAATCGATCACTGCTATTTGCAGAAGCAGATGCTGCTGAAAGATGACACCGCACTAAACGTATTTGTGCCAAAAAGCATTTAACTTCCTAGTTTTATAGGGTTAGACTAAAATATGAACATTTGACAGAAAGTGAGATCACAACCGTGGCAGAAAAGAGCCTTTTATGAGAAGGTCACTCTGCGGTGACAAGAAAGGCTTCACCATGCATTTATTTTGGAACCTGAAGGACTGCTCGTAAGGATGAGCCACGAGAGCTCCCTGGAGCCATTAACGGTCTACCATTTAGATACGCAGTCATCTTTTTTAGGAGCTGTATTAATTACGCAAATGGAAGACCACAGCTCTGCTGGAGCCGGTCCAGCTGACTGCAGAACTGCAGGTCTGGGCAAGCTGTGCGGAGCCACAGGCGCGGGGAGGACCGCTCCTCGTGCAGCCCGCCTGCGGTGACGAGCCGACCACCTCTGCGGAAAACTCACAAGTGCTGCCTGGTATAGTGTCGTGTTTGGAAAAGTGTAAGAACATCAGTATCATCATGTGAGAGAACAAGGGTGTGAAACTGGTGGGTCCGAAGGTAGAGATTGCTGTAAATTGTGGAAAACAAATATCCCCTTAGATTTTGATTTTTAAAGGAGTTTACTACCTCAGTTAACACCCTTTCAGCACTGGAAAGCAAAGTCCAACTGCATGTGGTACCATGCCAGCTGGGACAGTCCTTACTCAAAGCACAAACAGCCCAGACAAGCTG